CAGTAATTTCATTAATAAATTTACATAATTATTTGTAGCATTTTGTTAATATTCCGTAGCTTACAATCATCAAGTGCAAAGAGCAAATGATTGCGTCTGAGTGAAAACTTCCAGAGCTGTACAATCCTGTTTGAAAGGAGTCAAATCAGTGGTGTGTGAAAAACCTTTCACTAGACGTCCTTTATTTAATCTTCTCTCCTGTTTGGCTTTGAACATGTATAGTTATAGCACTTACATCTTGTAAATACAGAGGAAACATCATAAAGGTGCTGTGATTCTCTTGGGAGAGCGACAGTGACCGAGTGAAAGACAAAGTGCCAGTTACACAGACAAACTGATTAGGACGAGGAGAGAGAGAGAGAAGGATGGACAGGAAGTGAGACAGAACCCAGAGGTGGTGTGACAGAGCTGAAGACAGAGGCTGTGTGCATTGCTCGTCTGGAACACTTAACAGGATAATTGGTGTCAGAGTCCAGCTGAAGAGCTCCGCGGGCCAGCTGACTGTCTCTGGGAACAAAGGTGGAAGAAGACAGTGATAAAGACCTGAAGGTGGACGTGAATACCGACACATGGACATAGTCAAAACATGGACTAATCTTTTCTCCATGATTGTCTGAAGTCATTTTGGCTTTTTTGGCTGACAATGTTGATAAAGGAGAGCTGAGGTCAGGACAGAGGGAAGGTAGGAGACTAAAAACCTCCTCGTTCAGACGATTTCTCACCTGTCGTAGGTAACGCCCACAGTAACAAATCCACAGAGAGCTACCACCAACTCTGAAGCTTTATGGAGACTTTTAGCGTCTTTGTAGCACAGTTTTGGTTTTCCAACTGCGTTTCCACGTTTCCAGCAGCAGCAGAACAAAGCCGCAGTACATCACCTGCTTACCACCAATCAGCAGCCAGACACAGCTGGAGACGACGAACAGTGCAAGATTTAGAGTAGCAGCTAAAAAAACTGATTTCACTCTTGAGTTATACACAAAACTAGGATAGTGTAATTCTACTTGTGGCCAGAATATCAATTTCAAACTTACAGTAACACCTTCATTGCTTCCTAGACACTTCACGACCTATTCACACCTTGACCAACATGATTCTGATGATTCAGTGCAAATACATTCAACTTCCCACATTGTTCGGACAAACATAATCCCAACATTAGCACAGGCTGTGTGTTTCACCAGCCCATTGAAACCTCACTGTCATAAAGGGCTCTATAAATAAATGAACTTCTCCAAGGCACCAGCGGAGCCAAATGTGCTATTTACATATTGGTGCAATGAGGTATCATATAATCCATCTGTTTTTGGTTTAACTGCCTCCCTCTGGTCCCACTAAGCAACCTAACGGTGAATTAATTGTTTGTCTTTCTTCTCTGCTGCATTTCTAATAAAGATATTCAAGGACCAAATGGCTCTCGCTGCATGCTTCTGCTTATGCTCTTTTCAATTATCATTTGCTCATTTTCCAATACTGACCAGACTGATCCATAACTGTGGACCTGCTATGTAATGATTTGTCTCAGATCCTTGGGGGATTTGTTGGGTTTTCCCTATGTAATAATAATGATAACAGTAAGGTCTAGACCTTAGTTTGTAAAGTGTCCTGAGATGACTTTTGTTGTGATTTGGTGCTATACAAATAAAATTTGATTTGATTTGTTTCTATTGGTGCACTATTAGCAAGGTGAATGAAGTTGAAATTTAACCTTCATCCAGGCAGAGGTCACCAAACCAGGCGATTCAATACCAGAGCCGTCAGGTGCTCCAGCTTCATCTGAGGAGACTGGTTCAAGTGTGACTGAACCTTTAGCTGCTTCAGAAACAGAACATCACACCTTCCTTCTCTTTTCCTCATTATAAACAGGTTTACTTAAAAATATGTACCAAACTGGATTTGTGTGTTTCACCTATACCAGTACACACTCACCGGCCACTTTATTAGGAACATCTGTAGAATTACATGCAATTCAATACAACACTTCCACCCTAACATCTGTGTTTATGAAGCTCAAAATGTTTCAGTTATTGGTGAAATTGTCAGAAATGTATAATTTCTTTCTATCTATTGAGGTCACAGTTAAAGGTGTTGTCCTGGACTACATTATATTCAGAGGTGTTCCTAATATTCTGACCATCTCCTGTATGATGCTGGGGAGGACAACAATATAAACATCCCTCTGAATATAATGTAGTCCAGTACATTAGAGTGCATACAATTGTGCAGCTCTTCCTAATAAAGTGGAACAGTGAGTGTACAATATTCTTGTTGTTAAAATCTTTTATCGAGTTGCTGCTTCTACATAATAACACCTGTATCTTGTCTACATGAAGCCTCCTTTTGCCTCCAGCATTAGTGCGACTCTCTCTTTTTTCATTTTATTTTTCTGCAATAAGGCCGTGGGAGGCTACTCTGCTCGTGAAGAGGGACTGTTGAAGCCAAAACACAGACATTAAGCAGGCGCTTACTAGTGTTAAGCACATGGATGCACATGGTTTCTGTATTTTCATGCAGGATGTGGGTTGTAACAAAGGCCCAGCCGTCAAACACTGGGAGGTCTTAGCTTTGTGATTATGATGGTGAATGATCAGACACTATGGTCTGTGAAATAAGAAGCTGGCTTCCTGTTCATGTGACTGAAGCATGAAGCAGCTTTGGCCAATGAGAAGAGAAGACCGACAGGTAGACCCGCTGGCATTCAACACAGTGTGTCACTAGTGGAGCTTAAATAAAGCCACAGTGTAAGTGCTCGGTATCAGTGAAGCAGAACGATGAAAAATAACTTTCTGAGAGATTTGGGAGCATTTCTGCATGAATCAAGCAGAGAGATTTCAGGCACCAGTGTTTATAATTCTGCAGTGTAGAGCGAAGGACAATCTGAAATCATTTTACTGCAGCTTGCTTCAGTTCTGGTCATCAGCTAGTACTAAAACATATTATTCAAATGCTGACAGAGCAGCATGAGTGGTCCTTCAACAGAGAAACATATCAGAGCTTTCAGTTCAGTGCTCATTTCATCAATTCATTTTTGTTTGGAATTAATAAGGTTTTCTATCTTTGAACCACAATAAATGAGATTCATCATCAGGGGTCTTAATGTGAAGTCAAGGTTGATGAAGGTGATGATTCTGGTCCTCTGGTGTCAGTGAACGTCTAGCAGCCTCTTTAGCCTGAGCAGCTTCATGCATTTCCAGGTGTGTTAGATGTGTTTGCAGAATCAAGTCATTGCAATCCTTCTAAACAGCAGGGACAGTAGCTCATTGGCACTAATCACATTAATCATAGTCATAACAGCGGTGCCATATGTACACAGATGTGTCTGTTATGCCTGAGTTAGAGTGTAGTTACATATCAATGAGAACATCATTGCAGCACTGCAGATTCACTGATCCATGACTACTTTCACCCTTTCAGATATTTTTAATCCCAGCAGTTTTTAGACTTGAGTCACCAGTGAACAACTGGTTGTACTGGCTGCATGTGGGCAAAGACATTTACTACAAGACTCGTATTTGTAGAAAACAAGTGCCCTAGCTCCTGGTTGTTCTAGAGCTGAAAAGTCCTAAAGATGATTGAAATCTACAAAGATTTGATGCACACAGAAATAAATCATCACCCGACTATCAAACAGCATCACAGCCGAGTCAGTGAGTAAACACAGAGATGGCACATGGCACAATATGTAGGTGGGATTAGAGTCACTTCCCTGCTCCAAATGCATGTAAGTAGCCTATACTGTGGGGCTAGTGTTCTGAACTTGGTATCAAGTCTGCTCACTGAATCTATACCTTCTGAATTTCTTTAAACAAATCTGTGTTTTTCATTGAAAGGACTACACTGATGTATTGTATGCTGCTAGCTGTTAAAAGAGCATGGAATGAAAAAGATAAACTCATCGTTTAATAAATCTGAGTACTTTACCAACAAGAAACCAGATTCAATCAATAACAATCAACTGCAGGTAAAACACAAAGCTACGGTAACTGGTTACGTCACAGAAATGTCTGGATCTGCTTGGGGATGGTGGGTCTGGACCATGACCTGTGTTTAACCACTGGAAGTTCAGCGCCAGCCAGATCCATCTGGCCAGATGTGATGTCTTATCAGAAGTAATGCTTGGCTCAACAACTTGATGTGTGCCCACCCCTTAAGTTAAGAGCTCTGCTCCAGTTATTTCCACTGGTGTTACAACTGGATCAGCTGTTTACAGAGGAAGTGCAGTCTGCCTCGTACCTGCGGTCTGTGTGACTCCCACAGCAGATGTGTGGTTAAAAGACTCATAGATATTAGAACATGACAGATCCACTGTGATAGAGGCCATCACTACTGTGGTCCCACTTCCAGACAATCCCCATTTTAATCTGAACGTGCATGGATGCCCATTATTCAGACAGATATTGGACTGTCGGTGGTCGGGAAGCTAGATAAGTGGTAGCTCCATTAGAGGACAGGAATTCCATTAATATATGTGTGGAGATGCATGTCTTTCAAGGTTTTACTCAACTCACTTTCTCTTTTTGTGTGTGTCTAAATTGCCTGTGTGTGTGATCGGTGAGTTAATCAGCACCTGGACATGTCTGAGCTCAGAACTCTCACCTCACCTCACTTTATATTTCACCCAAGTCTTCGGTTAACTGCCACTATGATGCTTTCCATTTTGAACATACAGAAATTCATTTATCCAACATCAAGCCATCAAATCTATTATCCTGTTATTTATTTCAGGTCCATTAAGACATCTTTTAGTCCACAATCCATCTGTCACACTCATTTCTATCCCTCAATCCTTTTATGCACAGATAAACCCTATGTGTGTGTTTCATCAGTGATTTCTCACAGTTCAAATGAAGTCCAGTCTCTGATACAGAGCCAGACAGCTACAACAAGGTCCTGATCCCACAGCCTGTGTCTGTGCTGGTGAACAAATCACCACTCTACACTATTGGTTGTGTTTAGATTTACATTTCTACTGAGTATCAATGATCAAAATAATGACCTACCTGTCTGTCATCTGGTCACCAGGTCAGTCCTTCCTGACACCTGAAACAAGAATAAAATGATGCTTTTTCCTGTTTTGTTGCAAATAATTATTGTGGTTAACTTTATCAGTATAGCACAGTTCGTGCTCTAAGCTCAAAGTGTTGTACAGCAAAAACATATAATAGAAGCAAACATTTAAAAACAAAGTAAAAATAGAATAATGACAACAGTAATAAGATCACTCAGGCTGCACATAAGCAAGCCTAAAAAAAAGTAGCTTTTAAGATTATGTTTAAAAATATCAACTGTGTCTGATGCCCTAATCTCCTCAGGAAGAGGAAGAAGTGAGGGGCTGTGACACAAAATTCAGCATCGCCATACGTCTTGGTTCTGTTTGTGGAACAATCAGTAGGTCAGTTCAAAGATCTCAGCAGGAGCAAACCTGGTGGAACATATCAGAAATGGATTTTGGAGCCAATCCACTAAAGACTAAAAACTAAATTTTAAAATTACCAGGAAGCCAGTAAAGGGTCTTTAACACAGGAGATATGTGCTCTCTTTATTTAGTTCTGGTCAGAAGATGTGCAGCTGCATTGTGTATCAACACGATATTACAACAGTCAAGTCTGCTGGAGGTAAAGCATTCATAAGTCTTTCTGTGTCTTCCCTAAAGAGGAATGGTTACACACAACCATTGTTTCAGAGTTGATAAAATCTGGTTTTAGCCGTTTCTAACCTGCGATTCAAAACACATGTGCATGTAATGGAGCATGTAAAAAATAAAAAGTAGAGGACCCAGTACTGAGCCCTGAGGGACTCCATGGGTGACAGGAGGAGACAGTCATCTAAAGATAACACGTAGTCTCTTTCTGTGCGACAAGGCACTCCGAGTCACAGAGAAAGTACAGTGCTGATGAGACAACAATACAGAATATCACCTGGTTATCTTTAGACTACGTTATCAAGCGAGCAAAAAATGAACAGCTCCTTCAGCTGTGAAATCAACCGTTATTTTCAACCTTTGCAGGAAACAGAGTAAAGCCTACACACTTCTGCACAACTCAAACAACAATGTAGACTGAAATAAGCCCACATTTCAGGCTTCAAATAAAGCAAATTAAACTGCATGTCTTTACACTATCCTCAAACATTTCTATTAGTTAGTGAGAGGAAGGAGGAGATGACACGCACAGGAAGCCATGAGTCAGATTTAATGTTGCGCAAATATAGTTGAACCTACTGAGTCATCACGACACCAATTCTCATTTCATCTTTGAGCATTTGTTGCCAAAATGCATCTCTTCGCAATAAAGAAACACTGAAACGCAGCGACTCTGAGGCAAATGGATTCATTTTAAAAAATGCAGAGGCAGCTGACAAATGGATGCCATCACAGAGGAGAAGGGATGAAGAGAGGCAAACACAGCAGACGCATTTCGGTTCCATCTACATGTCTCTGTATCTAACAGATGATTTAAAAACACAAGGAGAAGGAGAGGGTGAGAGATGGAATGTGATTTTAGGAGAGAGAGTAAAAATAGTGAGAGACCAATCAAAAAATAAACCTGAACACTAGATTGAAAAATCAGTTATAAATACAGAGCTCCTCTTCTCCTCCCCCTTTCCTCTACCACCCTTTCCTCCTTTCACCTCTTCATTTGTCCTTTCTCATCTTCTCCCTTCAACCCCAACAAGTGCGTACAACTATACAGGTGTACCTAATAAAGAGGAACAGTGATTGTATGTTATACCACAAATACAAACCCAATGACTCCACATCATTAAACCTGCTATAGATTACATCTACACAAACATAAACATAACATGAGCTGCAATAAAGGTTCGACAAATTATGAAGTTTTAATGGAAATGCCAAAAAAATCCTTCAACAACTGACTGCAATCCACCACTGTGAGAAGGGAGACAATTATGTTTATAGCTGCAAGGAGTGCTCAGTGATTCCCAGCTGTTCTGTCAAAAAATAAAAAAAGGATTTTAATGATACATTATGAAGGTTGCACAGAAATAAAATTACATATTTCCAGAATGTGGGTATATAGTCATATCACTTGAGATTTCATACTCAAACAAGTTATCTAGGACTTGTAATGGGCCAGGAACATTTGCTCAAATATTCATGACAGGAAAACTAGTGAAGGCTGATATTCAATGCTCTGATTTGTTTAAAAATACTTCACCAAACCCCTGGTTTCACCACAGCTCCACTCAGACATTCACCTACTGCAAGTAAGACTTCTACCACAAGCTGAAGCTAAAAACCCAGAACAACATGATACTTTCACATGCGTGCTACTTTTGATCATATGTGGGCTTTGACGTTACATCAGCAGCTGAAGGTGATTGTTTGTAGCTGCCTGGACTCTTCTGCCTCTACTACTCTGCTGGATTTTGATTCTCCGGTAATAGAAGTTTTGAACAACAAATGATGACATGTATTCTTCACATTTCCATTGTCAGACTTCTGCCTTAACCTGGTTGTGAAAATTATCATTACATTGTTAAATTAACTTGAACTGAGCACACAGCTGTGCACCTATAACAGGCTCTGTTCAGAATCTAAATTCAGTGTTGCCATGTCAAAGCAGTGTCCATCACTTACTGTATATTATTTCCATTCTTAAAACCTGGAGTGATGCTCATATGTGCAAATATACAATCAGAATACTTCAGAAATCACGTTCTAAGCAGGTGAATGTCAACGCGGTCACTGCAGTCTTCTTGTCACGGCCTCCACATTAAACTCCACAGCTGATCACCGCAGAGGAAGTAGAGGCCATGGCTGCCTGATCTAATTATCTGTAGACCTTAGTCCAAGAAAACAGCAGCCACTGATACCATTCGATTATGAATATCCTCCTCTGTGTGCTGCCATTAACAGGCTCCAAAACGTTCAAGCAGACTTTGATGCAAAGTGAAGGAGGTATGGATTCAAGGAAGGCTAATACTCTATTATCATGTGGTTTTCCTTTTAAAAGCTGGTAAAAGGGCTGATGGCATGCAGCAGGGAAAGTTTTTATCCTGATCATGGTGTATAGTTTCAAGTATAAGTAAATAAGAGGAGTGCTGAGACATGAATGTATTAGCATTAGCCATCTGAATCAAGTCCAGACACATTCACACAGTCACAGCTACTGTATATCCACACAGGTAAAGGGCTAATCGTATCAACCAGAAAGTAAATATAGTAAATGATACAAATCTTATCAGCTTATACATGTACAGCTTTTTACAACCTACAAGAAGCAAAACAAAGCATCTAAGTAACAGTTCATTTGCAGCAGATGTCACCAGGATAAGAACCACACAACTCTACAGTGATGCCATGAAAAGGAGAGGCAAAAATACTCCAAGTATAAATTCTGACACTGATCTGAAGAGAGTGAACGTGAGGATTTTCATCTGTTTTTTCTGTTCACTGAGGCAAAGATTGATGGAAAAGTTATCCTGAAAATAAAAAAAACATCGAACATCATTCATTTTCCAAACAAATGTGTCTTCCATGCCTTTTTCCTGGAAATCACCACATCTGGGTTCAGTTAAACATTAACAGAACCAAACTTCAATCTGGGTTTATAATTTTCAACCAAATTTATCTTATCAGTAATTCATACGCAGACTCTTTAATCCATCTGTATTGATTCTGACCAGTTACCATGTTAAATGGTGGCCTTTTTGGGTGTGGGCATGAGAAGCTAACATTTTACTGAATGCTGTTTTATATTTTTACTGATACATCCACAAACTTGTTGTAAATTCATGACTGTGCTGTTTTTTTATTGGTGAGTTAAGCAGCTCACTGCCAAGGGATTTATGCCAGTTAACACACAAACAAGGCCTGGCTTATGATGTTTCAAACACCACAGACATTTTATTATTTATATGACTCCAAACACTTCCTCACACATCAACACTGAACCTGTTCTATTTCCACAAGCTGGGTTCACCACAAAACAATCTCCTTCTTCTTCGGTAGCAGCCAGCACGCTTATTGTTGCATTGTTCCCACCTTCGGAGTTTGTTAAAGCACCGTGATAAAATCCTTTTTATTAGTGTAGTGTCCTTCAGAAAAGTGAACAGCCTTCATAATCGTCTCCCTTTCTCCCAACTTCTACCCGTCTCTTTTTATTGTTACTGCTGTCAAACCAAACTCCCTCCACTCTGCTACATCTCTGCCCTCTCTGGCCTGTACCTCCTGGGTGACACCGGTGTATCATGTACTGTTTTTGTTGCTAGCACTCCTCACCTAACCCAGGTGGAAGCTTCCATGTGTTGTTTAAAATATTCCTCCTTCTCCTTCTCCTTCTTCTCCTCCTCCTCCTCCTTCTTCTTCTTCTTCTCCTCCTCCTCCTCAAAAGATTCCTTGAAAGTTAAGATGGCCTCTTTTACTTTTCCAACAGGAAGTGGAAGAGGCCAAATAGCAGTGCTGTCTGAGGGGGGTCCCCCCGCTGGACATCATCAGTAGATGCAGTCCTATTGGAGTTTCATGTCTTTGTTTTTTTTTGTAGAACACAAAAAAATATGTGCTTTTGACTGTATTCATTTTATAGTTTTAATACTTTGCCCACCTCTCTGTTGCACCTGTGCAGACTAAACCATGTGAATATTAAACCTACCTATGAGTCAGCTGGTACATTCATTCTGTCCATTCATGGCCCCGTTTTCTGTTTTGGGCTTCCATGTTTGTATTTTGAATCATTTTTATGTCTCTTATTCAAACATGGTTAATATTGTCGGTGCCCTTACACCTCATAAAACAATGTGTTTCATTGTCATCAGTCTTCTAAACTGTCATTCAGCCTGTTTATATGGAGGGTAGTCTCACTGTGCTGTTTAGTACCATACAAACACTAAAGGACTCTGAAGTGGCTGCGATGAGTCCACACCTTTATCCAACTGATCTATGTATGATTAATGGAGAGAGCTGAAACTCGTCCACCAAGCCTGAGAAAACAAGTCTCATTCAGAGCTACACAAATCGTTTACTTGTAGTGATTACCTCATTGAGCGTGTGCTTCAAAAAATTCGGCTGGGCATCCTAA